TCTAGCGTGACCTCCTGTATTCTAAGCTCACTACCTTTATTGTCATTAAAAATCATGACCGCTGATATTTCCTTACTGAATCTGAAATCTAACCTATCTCCTTCTCTACCACAGAGGTCCAACAATCTCTGCAAGTCTTCCTTGTTGTCAGCCATTAGCACTATATCATCTGCGTACATCAATGCTGGTAGTGCCTGTTCAATGAGTTTTTCTAGTTTGATGAAAGAGAGGTTGAAGCTCACTCCACTTCCCTCTAATTTGGCCTCTAATTCTTGTAGCGACATCATGAAGAGTGAGGGTAACAGAAGACACCCCTGTTTAAGCCCATGTTCTACCTCTACAGGCTTGCTTACCCGTTTTCCCACTTTATAACTGCCTTGTTACCTTTAAAGATATCCTTTAAAAGATTAGTGACTCTATCTTTCACGCCTAGTGTGTCCAGTATTCCCCACAATTCCTAGTGAACCACGCTATCATACGCTTCCTTGATATCCAAAAATGCTAGCCACAGGGGCAAGTGTTCCTTTTCTATTTCTATGCACTGCGTCAGTGAGAACACATTGTCTTCCAACCTACTGTGTTTCCAAAACCCATTCTGCAGTTCCCCCAGCACCCCCTCATCCTCTATCCATGCCTGCTGACATTCCTATATTATCTGCATCGCCAGCCTGTAGACCACAGAAGTCATGTTTATAGCAGGGTAGTTGTTTATGTCAGCTTTGTCGCCCTTTCCTTTATAGATCATGCTCATCCTGCCAAACTTCTATCCATTGGAACTTCACGATGAATGATTATTTTGCTCACTGCCTCTCTCAAAGCCTGCTTACACTTCGCACCTAATGTCTTTATCAGCATAATTGGAATGCCATCTGGGCCAGTTGATGTACTACTAGGAACGCTCTTCTCAGCCCTTTCCCACTCTCGTTGTAACTCTCGTTGTAAAAATGGAGCCATTGTGCCACTTGATTCATCCTTGTTTGTTGTGGTGCATAGAGCACTTCTTTTTTGAAATTTTTCTGTCACCTTTGTTCTTACATATGCATTAGCTTCGTCCCCTTCTAGCCTAGCACCTTGATCTGTAGTTATAAATCTCTGCACTATGCTCGTCTCATTTCCTAGGAAGTTTAGATGGTTGCAATATTTCACAGTTGCCTTTCAATCTTTTTTATGTACTTCTGCCAGCCACTGAGCTCCCTTTCTCCTAATCTTTTCATTGATCAGAAGGAATGCATGCCTTCAACAGCTCAGAAAAATTTCCCATTTTCTTTCAACATTATCTGTCGGTTCACCCTGCTGATCAGCATGTGTGTGTTCCTTAGAGGCTTCCTGGCATTTTGCTATGGCTTTCTTAACTTCATCATCCCACCAACTTTTGTGTTCGCGTCTGCTTTACCGTGGTGACTCGTCATGTGCCTCATCAAGCTTTTACTCAAACAGTCTAATTAGATTCGTGTAGGTCCACACTGTTTTATTATCATCAGTGATTGCTTTCTCAAATTGTTAAGAGCTATTTCTATTGGCCTTTCTGAGTAAAGATTTTCCTGTACTTGCTGATCTTGTCTCCTCTCCACTTTCACTGTTCTTCCAAAGCTTTGGTTGATACGTTTGTGATCACTACCCAGACTTCTGGAGCCACCTTCATATTTGTGCATTCCCTTGAGCTTATCATACATCCTATATGACATACGTGCGTAATATATAGTTGACTGCAGCCTTCCTATCTCCCACGTTATTTGCCTTTCACACTTCTCGGTACTGTTCCAAAAGATCAAATCATGCCATTCACACATATTCATGATTATTTTGCCTGTCGGGACGGTATGCCCATCTATATCTTCTATGTGCGAATTTATGTCTCCTAGTATAATTATCTAGCACTCTCCTCCTAACACCTCATTGTCCTTTGATATACACTCTACCATTGCCTGGTTTTACTCTCTGGCCTTTGCTCCCGTCCACAAGTACACAAAACCAAGGAGTGTCGTTTCCCCTGCCACTTTCTCTTTTAGCCGTAAATGTTCCTTGCACTACTGCTTGACCCTTTGCAAGTATGTACTCTTATGAATGAATGCTGCAACACCACCCCCTTTCTTCTGCCTTCTGTTCTAATGCAACGTTCCCATGCGTAGTCCGGTGGCAGTGGCTATGGTAACTACCATAGCCACTGCCACCGAATGTGACACTGAAATGGCCAGTACAGTTGACGTGAATTGCCCGCTATCATCTGTAAAGCAGGAGCAGATGCGTGTAATTCCACGCCCGCATAGTGACTGTTTTGAGTCCACTTCGAAAATCAATAAGACACTGAACTCGAAGAAGCGCATTAAAACCAACCCTATCAAACGGCCTGTATTGAAGCACGCCTACTGCGTGTCCCAAAACAACAACAGGCGATACGCTCTCACGTGAAGCAGGGGCTCGATGACGACATCATGCTACTCTCGAAGAGTCCATGGGTGTCGCACTTCGTAATTGTTAAAAAGAAAGACAGCACTCTTCGATTATGCGTAGATTACCGGAAACTCAAGACAGTGACCAAAAAAGATGTCGACCCTTTAACACGCGCAAATAATTCACTCTAGAGACTTCTTCACTTATATAAAAAGTTGGTGAAAATGTAATAACTGCAAGAAAATTGCTAGTGACGGCAGCGGTTACTACCTTTCTTGAACAGCTACTACCCTTTTGCTATCTTTTTACTACTTACGTTGTAAACAGTTACTAGCTGCAACCGTTATTACCTTTTTGCGACCTGTTTACTACCTGCTTTAGTAAACATTCAGTAACTAAATTTAAAGAGGTAGTAACTGCAGCCATTACTACGTTTTTTGCCCTGCTACGACCTGTTTGCTACCCGGCTGTTGACTATCTGATCCAAAATTGTGCGTGATTTTGATTCTGATAATTTATGAGAGGAATCGTCTCAACGTATCGTAAAAAAGTGAAAAAAATGATGCAGAAGACCTCCATAGACCAAGAAAATACATTTTGTTTTATTACACAGCCGAGATATGTAAATCTAATTCTTATAATTTCGAAACGGAGAAGTACAAATTAGTGAACCTTAAGGAGGTGCTTCACGGATTGCAATAGAGAATGACAACAACCTTAGTAAATTACAGCAAATTAATAAGACTGGCGGAACAAAATAACTAGTCAGTCACAATTAGCCCTGAGGATAGTCACAATTATTTCACTGTGGTTTGTCTCCAAATTTTATTGTTGTTTTGGCACGTCAAGCTCCAGAAACGATTATTATATTAGCCGTGTAAAGCATTCAAATGCACTGAGAATGACTTCTGTACCTTGTACAGATGACATGAAAGAATAGAGGTTGGCAGTGAGACAATCTATTCCATGTTGGTGCAAAGTCGCCGAAGCCCTCGCAACACACGTGTCACCATGCTTGTGTGTAGAAAAGCTTCAGCAACTTTTCTTGCTGTCATATCCTTGTGCCAGGCCAGGACAGCACCCTTGTTTCGCAAAGTAATGCGTAACACTTGCTATCCCTGCAATGTAGGCATAGATTCGATGAAAGATGGGCCTTCAGCGGTGCCCTGTGATCCATTACTCGGTTATTCAAACACCTTCCAGTTTGCCCAAAATAGAACTTACCACATGAAAAAGATATAGGACACACGAAATCCATTCCACATTCAACAAACGTTTTCTGGTGATTGACCTCACAATCACATAACCCTTTACTTAGCCTTCAATTTTCCTATGCACAGCTGCGCAGACTTGACCCATAATTCCTGGATGCAAAAATCACGTTAACACCAAATTTGTTTCCCACCTGTTTGAGTTTCTTTATTAATCTTTCACTGAGGAGACCGCGTACCTTCTGGAAAGTTCGGTAACCTAAGCCTAGTAAGCTGGCTATCAAAAGCATCTGACAATTTATGCAGGCACGACTTGCGCAAAGCAGATTTTGGAACTGAAAGGTGCTTGAATAACCGACTAACGGATCACAAGGCATCGCTGAAGGTCCACCTTTCGTCGAATCTGTGCCCACAATGCAGGGATTGCAAGTGGTATTAATTAGAGTGTTGTCCTGGCAAAGGAATAGGGCAGCAATAGAAGTTGCGAAGGCTTTTTATATACCCAAGTATGGCGACACGTGTATTTCGAGGCCTTCGATGACTTTGCACCAACTACATATAGATTGTCTCACTGCCAACCTCTAATCATTAACGTCATAATTTTTTGCTAGAGACATATGTCTATCCCTCAATAAACTTACATTTGCTATTCTGCGCTTGTGTTTGTGCCCTCTCCGTTTCTACCTGCTTTTTCGCGCACTTTTGTAGTTGTCAATCAACTGTGGCACATGTTAAACTTCTGGCGGCAAGAGTTTTGCGCTGTACGTGACGGAATCGTGACGAAATTCTTGTCATGACAAACAAGCCATATTTATCCGACCATCTTACGCTCCCATGCTAGTTTTATAGATAGATAGATAGATAGATAGATAGATAGATAGATAAATAGCTAGATAGACAGACAGACAGACAGACAGATAGACAGATAGATAGATAGATAGATAGATACATAGATAGATAGATAGATAGATAGATAGATAGATAGATAGATAGATAGATAGATAGATAGATAGATAGATAGATAGATAGATAGATAGATAGATAGATAGATAGATAGATAGATAGATGCGGGTATAGACGCTCAAAGTAACTGCAGAACACAATGAAATGTTTCGCATTCAAAAAACGAGCTGACTGAAACTGGTCGCTTTGCAGTCTGAGTGACAATCAAGCATTGTAGCATAGAATGCTAGAATGCTTGATACTCCATCACAAGCAAAAATGTTGTTGCCACAAAGACGTCTCTTTGATCACAGAATCACGTTGAGGGAGTGATGGAATGAAGAATATGAGGTTGTCAACTAGAACTGCTTTGCTTTGCCTTTGAGACAGTCAGCCAATATCTTCTAGCTTCTCTTCCATTGATCGACAAGCCATAAAGAAAAAAATGAGACTTACAAAACCAGCGCAAGGTTCCGCAAAATGCACAGTTTCTTTTTTCCCAAACGTTTTCGCCGCTCTGAAAGAAAAGTGAATAATTCACTGAAACAAAGATAAGTAATAATAGTGGGATACCATTCGTCATCATGGAGTAAGAGTGTTTAATGAAGTGTCATGGGTGAAAGTCGACCACAACAATTTCAAGAGAAGCATTGACAAGCGATATAACCAAATAATTTTGTTCTGTTATTTTGTGCTTTCATGCTGCAATGGTCAGTGTCTCAATCACGGCGGTATGAGTCCATTTTTGGAAATTATGATGAGCATGTGCACCAAATTCTCAGGTTAGGCATGCGCTTTGGTGGAGCGATAGAAGAGCGTGAAGGATGCGGATGAATGCCAGGATATGCTGATAGACGTAATGTGAACGCCACCTGAAAATGACGTTCCAGGAAAGACAACTGGCCAGAAAATTAGACCACTTACACATAGTAAATGCAACACGCAAGCGAACTTTTGCAGTTAAGTTTTTCAAATATGGTGTCGTGTATTCTCACTTGCAGTGTCGAGCTTACTAAAACTTTTCATTTAGACGTGTGTTTTGCCAATATTATCTTAGTAATCAGGGAGTATGTAGACTGCCGCAATATCCAGTCACCGAAAAATCTCTGATTCGCGCTATCCTGCGAATGAAAATTGAATTGCACGCCTGCAAAATTTCCTAATTTGACCAGGTTCTCTAATTGTGCGCATTTTCTGGCAACAAGTTGCAGCTCTGGTTATCTATGCTCTTGTCAACCCTAACTGTGAGTTATTTTTTTACGACTCGCATGTCCAGCTCAGTCTACACTTCCCTTGACAGCGAGAACGCCTGCTGCCTTTTTCGCTTCTATAATTCATTTCGCGCCTCTCATATAGTGTTTCGCATATCTGTCTTGCATAGGACGTAACACTGCTCTTAGCTACTTTATGAGCGATTTTTTGTTTGTCACCGACTTTCTCTACCTCACGTCATTATGGGAATCAGCCGATGATCGTACATTCTTTAATTTAGTAACAGAGTTTACCGCCTGTAATAACATATAAATGCTCACCATGTGCACACAGTTATCCCTCCATGTTCTTCGGTGAACTTTGTTATTGAACATGCATGATTCTGAATGAACTCACGGTCGGCCACCAATCCCAAACACTCAATCATTCTTCAAGACTCAAATCATTTTCTTTATGTCTTCCAAACGTTATTCTGTAATCTAAATCAAAACTTTTTTTTTCGATTGGCGTCTTAAACAATTTCTAAACGTCATATTTATGATTACTCAAGTGTTTGAAGCGGCATCTGAGCCATTTTTTTTAGTTATCCCCACTTACAATGTCTGCCTATTTCTTCAAAATCCAGTCGTTTGAATAATTGCTGCAAGTCTGCAGTTGAAACGATTTGAGAGGTGGTGTTTATTTGTAACGTTATTATTTACTATGTTTTGAAGAAGTATTATTTTTCTGAAGAATATTGTAGGCCTGCTGTGAAAATTTTTTGGATGTGAGCTGCGGCATTCAGGAATGCACCATGTACCTCTGGACAACTCAATTCAGCCACGGGCCCCGAATGCCCAATGCTTGCCTGTTGAATTCAACCTATGTTTTTGCCGCACCCGCTACGGGGGTTATTTATTAAACCAGTGGTTAATGTATTGAGAAAACAGAAGCTTACATTTTTGATGAAGAAAAAATTGTGATGCAGTACTTTGCGGAATATAAAATTGGGCAATCATAAAGGGACGTACGAATAAAGTGCGTGCAGAACTAGTTAATAAATAAAATAAATAAATGAAACTAGAATTGTATTGGAAATGGCCTAACAAGTAAACCTTCTGGTGTTTTTAAAAAGTTCTTAAACAGCTATTCAGACCCTCTTGTTGCTGTGGGCAAGAAAATAAGCCCTAAGGAAAAATATATTTTCAGAATAAGAGTATTTACTATCGTCTGTACAATTTTTCGAATATTTGTTTCATTCGGCTCCTTTGAAGTCGGAAATTATTTATTGCTCGAGCCAAGCGTGCATGACCGCAACGTGGTGATCGCCATCGTCTTCCTCGAAGCACCCAGGATTGCCAGAGCCACCACCAAGTATGCGATAAACGTTAACGCGGGAGCCTTAAAGCGATAATTTTGCAAGCGTTATGATGTTGGTGCCGTCGTCGGTGTCGGCGTCGTTGGTTGTGATAGAAAAGTCATCATTGTGTCCACGACCGAAAAATAAAAAAAACAGGCAAATGAGTTTTATAAAACATTATTTATACTGAGTGAAGGTCAAACACGGGAAATTTGCGTGCAAAACAGGTATTCTACCACATAGTCACGAGTTTATTTTTTTTTCTTCTCTTCGTGACGTTTCTTATATTGCGTATTGAAAAATATAGGAATAGCTTGACGGAAAGTCATGTTAATACTAGTGCAGTGCGTTCAAGAATTAATCCGAATAAGTTAAATCTGGTAAGCACACACACACGCACAAAAACACACACACACACACACACATATATATATATATATATATATATATATATATATATATATATATATATATATATTGTAATGAATTAATGAATCTGAGTAGCGGACGCTCTGCGGGCAACGAAGAAGACGATGATGATCGATGGCTGCAGGAGTAGCTCGCGCACGCCGCTCGCCATTAGCCAGACCTGCCTGATAAAGGACATTTTGCCAAGCTGCGTCTGAACCTTTCTCGACGTACAACACCTCTATTTTAAGTGGTGGAGGTGCGGGGTTCCCATCAACCTGGAACTTCGCAACCGGACGCTACCCTCACCGTTCACCATGACTGCTCCTGGCCCTTCTCAAGCTGCCTCACCAACGACAGTCTACTGTACTGGCGCGCCTCGGCAACGCGACCCACCAATTTTTCGCGGCAACGATGAACAAGACGTCGAGGACTGGCTCGTCGAGTACGAAATCGTAAGCGCTTCCAACAAGTGGAACGCCTGCGACCAGCTCACAAACGTGCGCTTTTACCTCGCTGATGTGGCCAGCCTCTGGTTCAAGAACCACCAAGGCGAAATTACCAACTGGTCCGCCTTCAAGACCACCATCTCCGCGGTCTTCGGCCGTCCCGCCGTGCGCCGGCTTCGCGCGGAACAGCGTCTCCGTAGTCGAGTCCAGCGCAGGGACGAGACCTTTACGAGTTACATTGAAGATGTCTTGTCCCTTTGCAAGCGCGTCGATGAATCTCTAACCGAACGCGACAAAATCAAGCACATCATCAAAGGAGTTGACGACGACACCTTCCAGATGCTCGTCGCTAGGAATCCACAGACCGTCACCGATGTTGTCCACCTCTGTCAGGAGTACGACGAGTTGCGTAAGCAGCGTGTCTCGACGCGCAGGGCCGCAGAAGATACGGCTGAAGTTTCCGCCCTCGTACACGACGTCGCTGCTGATCACACCGTCTTACTCCCCCAAATCAAACAATTCATTCGTGAGGAAGTTGCGCGTCAGCTTTCTCTTGTGGCCGAAGCATCCGCGCCAGTGACCTCGTTAGACCCACGTCTACGCCAGGTCATTGAGACACAGGTCACGCAAGCACTGCCTCCATCGCCACCTGTCCCTACGCCGCTGACCTACGCTGCCGTCGTTGCTAGACCCCCAGCCCCACCTGCCTCTGGCGCATACCGGGGCACCGGGTCCTCCTACCCTACGACGCTGCCTACATACACGGCACCCCATCCCGTTTCGCCTCCTGCACCTTCTGTCGTTAACCCATGGCGCACCTTGGATAATCGACCCATCTGTTTCGCATGCGGTTTCGTGGGACATATAGCACGCTACTGTCGCCGTCGCAACTTCCAGCATCCAGACCATGGGAATTCTGCAAATTACCAGGCTGCCCAGAATCCCCAGCGACCATCTTCTCCTATCACCGACTCATTGTCCCCACGACGCCCCGTCGATTCTCGCCGGTCATTACCACCCCGTCGCCGATCTGTCTCCCCGATGCTTCGGCGCACGAGCCCCGCTCGAGAGGAAAACTGACAGCCGCAGTTCCGGAGGCAAGAACTGCGTCGTCGTCGAACTTTCTAAGACCTCCTCTTTGTCTGCCCAACGAAATTGATGTGCTAGTAGAAGGTGTTGCTGTACGTGCACTTGTCGACACAGGCGCCGTCGTTTCTGTAATTAGTGAAAAACTGTGTCGCGATTTGAGAAAAGTTACAACGCCGCTTACGAATCTTGCTCTGCGTACAGCCACCTCCCATTTCATCGCGCCGACAGCTCAGTGCACAGCACGCGTTCTTATTCAAGATGTTTGGTACGCCGTCAACTTTGTTGTTCTCCCACGTTCATCTTACGACGTGATACTAGGATGGGATTTCCTTTCTACCCATCAGGCCCTCGTCGACTGCGCTCGTGCTGAACTCACGTTGACGAATCCGTGCCTTGATATCGACCACCACAGTCCCTCGAAAGTGTTTGCCGCAGCTGACGTCCGCATCGCGCCGTTGTCCGCCGTCCTAGTGCCTGTGTTTTCCCCTGCTGCCGCTAACTCGACGCTCCTGTTCCAACCAACTATAGCTAGTGTGCAACACCAAACCATCGTCCTCCCGTTTGCCGTCATCAACTTTCCCAATGGTTCGGCGGTACTTTATGCGTGCAACGTTTCTGCTTGCCCGTACATCCTGCTACGCGGTGAGTGTCTGGGAAGCCTCGAGACCTTCAATTGTATTTTCGAAGACCCGATCTATCCAGACAAGATTTCTACCGACTTGTGCCATTGCACCCGCAACTGACGCTAATGAACCTATGGATGTATTCCGCAAGTCCATCGATTGTAACCTCACGCCTGGGCAGCAGAAACAGCTGATCAAGCTCCTACAGCGTTTTCGAGCCTCGTTTGACCACAATCAGCCTTCCTTAGGTCGAGCGTCATCTGTTGTACACCGTATAGATACCGGTCAAGAGACGCCCATTACGGCAGCGTCCATATCGTGTGTCAACTACCGAACGCCGTGCCATCAATGAACAGGTTGACGACATGCTGACACGTGGCATAATCGAACCGTCAAG